TTGTTTGCAACAATGGAAGACTAAAAACCAAAAAAAAATTGAATTTTTTCACTTGACACTCGGCACAAAGATGGGAATCTAGGACACTGAGCTTCCCAGCTTTGCCGAGTGCCATAGTCAAGGCACTCGGCAAAGAAAATTAAAAAAAAACAAACTGCTTTGCCGAGTGCCTACCTACAGCACTTGGCAAATAAAATCCAAAAAAAAGAAAACAAGCTTTGCCGAGTGCCAGATGCAGGCACTCGGCAAAGCATTTTAAAAAAAAAATAAAAAACACATTTCTTTGCCGAGTGCCGACGCGTGGCACTTGGCAAAGGGGCCGTCACCGTGACCTGGCCATCATGGCGGCTTTTCTTTGCCGAGTGTCATCGTGGCACTCGGGAAATCCTTTACTGAGTGCGCGACATGCGGCACTCGGCAAAGAAGCCTTTGCCGTGAGGGGATGTGCCGACAGCTTTTTGCCGAGTGCAGCACTCGGCAAAGGCTTTGCCGAGTGCAAATCCTTCTTTGCCGAGTGCAATTGCACTCGGCAAAGCACGCGTCTCCCGTAGTGACTGCTGCGTCCCCTGCCCAAGAGTCCTGCAAGCTAGAATCTGGTATCACAAAAAAACCTAGCATTCGCAAGAAGCCACACGCGCACATGGACACGCCACTCGACTCTTTGACTCCTCGTCCATGACGGTGATGCGAGACGCACGGGCGTGGCTGTAGCACGGGAGACGAGACGCCGGACGCAACGCGCACGCGCTGCGATCTCCGTGACTCAGCTCGACGGGCGACGGTGATCGGCGGTAAGCCAATAACGTGACTAGGCGAGATGTGACGTGATCTGGCCTTCCGCCTTCTTCGACTCCATATGGATTAATGTGTATGGGTGAGGCCAGCGCCCGAACGTTCGGACGGGCTGAGCGTCCCGTTCAGACGCCCGCGCAGCTCGCCCCATCCACCTTTTTTGCTGCCGTTTGCCTTTGCCCCGTCCACGAGTGCGCTCCACCCTCGTAGTTGCGCCCGTCGGTCTTTCCCCTAGCCCTCTCCTCTCTCTCCGACTTTCTGCATGGCGACACAAGGAGCCGGGATGAGCGGCTGAGGACGAGCACACCCCCAGCGCGTACCAGCCCCAGCACCTCCATCCGCTGGCCCCCATCGGCCCTCCGACGCGTCACGTGCCTGGTCCGCTAGCCCCTAGCTTGCCCCGACCGAACAACATAAAACACTTGCAACATAAAATGCAATATAAGACTGAAAACAAATAAAACATTTGAAACATGCTCTTGCAACATATGTGCACTGTTTGCCTAAACGGTCGTTTAGCCCGTTTAAACACCGTGTAAACGCTACACGGTGGTCCGCCGTTTCCGTTTAATCACCCGTTTACCCCGTTTAATTGGCCGTTTAGCCCGTTTAATGGGACATTTTGCCCGAATAATGGCTAAACGGTAGGTGACCGACTGTTTACCGTTTAACGTTTAGGAAAACATTGCATATGTGACAAACACATGAAACATTCAAAATAAAATACTTGCAGCTTGCAACATGAAACTACTTGCTGCAACATAAGACTGAAATAACTGAAATATTTCGAAATAAAAATCGATTGCAACATACGCCTTGAAACAGATGAAACATTTTAAACATATGCTTGCAACATGCTTCTGAAACACTTGCAACATATGCAACATGTGCAACATCCCTCGATCTACTTTTACAATATCAAAATGAAATAATTGCAATATACATCTGAAATGTCTGAAACACTTGAAACATACATATGCAACATAGGGGAGGGGAAGGCCGGGCCAGGCGATTCTAGCCGTCGGGGTCAGAGTCGGCGGCGAGGCGCAACACACGAGCACCACCAGCATCGTCCACGCTCTGGGTGCACTTGGCTCGCCTAGGGTCCGGGGAAGACCTGAGGCGTCACGACACAAGCGCCCCAGCGGCCATGGCGGGGTTAGCGGCGTGCGCGACAGCTATTGGAGATGGACGAACAGACGGCGAGGGAGAGCGAGCGGCATAGGTGTCTAGGACGGGCACGTGGCATGGCCGGCGATAGGGCACGACGTGGCAGCCGACGAGAGCGTGGTGGGGGAAGGGGTGCTGACGAATGAGCGGCCACGCTGCTGCGTCGGACACCGGGTGGATAAGAATGAGTGGTTGGGGATTTTGTTTTTTCTGAGAGAGATGGAGAGATGAGGCCCGCTGCTGCGGAGGCGCGTTCGGACGGGAGTTATGGATGGACGACCGTGGCTTATCATTATTTAATGAGTATTGTATGATCTAGCAGGTATGTGTTGATGTTTGAGATAATTAAAATCACACAATAGTAGGGCTAGCACGCCCAAAGAGGTTGTGATCAACCTACAACATAGCAAGAACACCACGTAACCGATGAAACCGATCTAGAGATTGATTAGGCCGATATTGAGCTCGTTCTTGGCCGGAAAAGATCTCGAACTTCTCCCGAGAAGACCCATCGGGGAGGAGCACGTGGAGAATCTCCTAGGACCAGCAAGGCCTAGAATGCCGACAAATCTCACTGGAAGATGTGCCAAACAGTAGGAGGGGCTTGAAAAGGGAGTAAAGAGTATTGTGGATGTGTTTTTGATCGATTGGATAGATGAGATCTCAATCAGTCATGATACTCTCGTATATATATATAGAGGGGGTGATCTTATTCTAGTAGGAAACAACTCCAAAACGCGTTCTCCAAGTTTTCCATGTCAAAAACATGCTAAAAATCAATTTGGAAGCCAACTCAACTCAGGATCTAGAACAAATAATCCGACTTTCACGGGCTCGGGCAGGTGCCTTGGCGGCTGGAAGAGGGACGGTTCGCCGTGGACAGACGGATCCATAGGAAGCCAGGAGGTGGAAGATCAATTTCCGTCCACCTGGAGGGAGATGTGGTGTCAAGCGATGAAGCCAACGCCGAGACTCTCCGGTAGGTCACGTCCAACCTGCGGGCGGAACGTGCTGGGCCAGTCTTGTGCACCGTCTAGTCTGCTGGGCTTGTGGAGCGGTACCGAAGTCGACGATTTCTTCCAAAACACGAGGAATGGACCGGAACGGCCCAAACTGTCAGTCGCCGCCCATGCATGTGGCGCTCTGTAACCACCCCCACCACCTCCAATAGATAGATCCTCCATGTCCAGTGGACTAGTGGAGAGTCATGCCATTGTTGATGTTGTTTTCCTTCCTTTCTTTCCCTCTCCATAATCGCTTTCCTTCCCGAATGAAATATAGATAGATAGATACGAAATATAGATAGATAGATACGAAACGTAACGCTGGCCCAACCCAGTGAAAATGGAAGTGAGCGAGGCTCAGCCCATACGAGACGGAGCATGCACCGTGTGTTCAGCGTGCGTGCCGAAGCTACAGATATGATGTACACAGTGCCGGCCCTGGGCTAGGGCACAAGGTGTGACGGCCGAGGGCCCAAACAGAGGAGGGGCCTAAGCCCAGATATACAAACCCTCAAGTCCTATAATCCATTCGGTATTAACAAACTAATGAGAAGAGAGACATAAAACTGGCGAGACAACCCAAAAAGACAACATCGACATTTATTTCCTAGTTTCCTTTCTCCACGGCCCTCGGATAGAGAGGAGGCGAGAAGTCACGCTGTACACAACACACTCTGATCATGAGTTCGCGGCGTGCGCATTACACACGCGGAGCGGGCGAGCTGCCCCGCCGCGAAGAGCTAGACTACCGGAGACACGGACACAGCGCACGAGGACGGCGACCAGGCAGGGCTCCACGAGGACAACATCTTGATTCTTGGCTTCTTACCAATTGCGATCACCGATTAGTTGTTTAGGCCCAAGATATTTTTTCCTTTTTATTTTTAATCCAAATTAATTATTTGTATAATATTCCAAACTTCTAGTACTTTGTACCCATATAATCATATTTTTCTTCTAATTTAGGTGTTAGAATTTTAGAATGTTACCTAAGAAACATTTGTCATGGGTGAGAAAAGAAAACGAATATATTATTTTTTTAATCTACATTGTTTCTCGATAATTATCATACATCTACAAATATATTGCTTAATCTACATTGTTCCTTGATAATTATCAGACATGTTAAATTAAAAATATGTTATTGAATTTGTTTTCGTTTTGCAAGTAAAATTAGTTTCTATATATTATAAGATTTTAGGGAAAATTGGTTTCATAGCACCGAAAGAATGCGAGAATCGGAAAATATCACCGAAAATTCGTCGTGCCGTAAAATACCATCGAAAGTGAGCATTCCGTCCGCAATCTAGCACTCTGTTACTCTCGCTGTTAACGCCGTTGGTTGCGTCCGTCCGAGGACTCGGCTTCAGTGCTTCACTCAAAATTCAAAAACGAGCAGGAGCCATGGAAACATGTGTCCAGGCCTATGTCCGTGTCGTTCGTCGCCGGCAGCGGGATGGCCGACACCAGCCCGCGCCGCACGGCCTCGTAGGCGTCCTGCTGCAGCCACGTGATGGACGTGCCTGAGTCGATGATGACCCCGCCCGTGCCGTCGTCGTTGATGGCGAACACCAGCGGGTCGATGGGCAGGCGCTTGGTCCCCAGGCTGATGCCGTTGGCCGACAGGAAGTACATGTTGGGCAGCGCCGGGTTGATGACGAACCGCGTGGACTGCACCGGCGACCCGGAGCTGGTGTTGGTGCTGTTGAGGTTCGCGAACACGCCGAAGTAGAGCCTGCTCGGCGTCGGCGAGAGGTACGACGTGAGGCAGTAGGAGAACCTGGATGGCCCGAGCTGGCTCACCAGCGACAGCGGCCCACGGCCGAAGCCGACCATGCCGGAGCTGTTGGCGAGGTCGCCCGCGTTGAGACTGCCACACCCGAAGGAGACGTTAGCTGCCCTGACCTTGGTCGAGCTGGCCGCGCCGAACGTGAACGTCTCGTTGGCGAGGACGCCGGCGGTGGACGCGGTGTCGCCGTAGTAATACTGGTACACGCACATCTTCTTGAAGCAGGAAGGGCTGGAGAGCGCGGCTCACCGCGACGACCGGCACGGGACGGCGCGGTACGTGGCGGACTTCTTCGCGTCGAAGTAGGGCGTGGGCTGGTCGGCGCAGAGCAGGCAGGGCGCGCACTGCGTCCAGATGAGGTCGCTCCCGGTGTCCATGATGGCCGTGTAGTACAGCGGCGGCGTGCCGATGGCCAGGTCCACCATGTACTCGCCGCTGCTGGCCGTCACGAGGACGCGCGCCGCCGTGATCGGGTCCACCACGGGTGGCGCCGACACGGCGGCGGACTGCAGCGCGGCCACGCGGGCCTTGCTCCGGGCAATGGCGCGGCTGAGGAGCTCAAGCTTGGTGTAGGACGTGCCCGCGTCGACGTGGGTCAACTTGAGCTGGAATCCGACGCTGTCGTGGCAATGAGCTCCGAGCTGCCTGGGACGAGGCTGAGACAGACGCCGTTAGCTCCGAAGGCGACGGAAGGTGATGGAATGCTACTTTCAGTTAACGTTTGCATCTTTGAATGGTATTTTACGTGACAGAGCTCTTTTGATAGTATTTTTCGATTCTTGTGATGTTTCAATGCTATAGAACCAATTTTCCCAAGATTTTATACATGGTCAAAACGGGCCGTTGCGATGAGATCGTCAGAAGGCCCTTAAAATCCTATGACCGGCACTGGATGTACTATTTCACACCTCTCGTTGTGTGTGTCTAGTCTTTTTATAAATCTTTTTCTGTGGGTGTGACTTACTCAAATAGCAAATCATCAGTTTCATGATTCGGGTACGATTCACGCATCACAATTCGTCGACCTGCTGCTAGCACTTCAAATATCATGCACCATCTATCTCACTTCTCTTCCATCTCTATCTCAGTGCAGTGTGTGCTTTGGTAGCAAATACAAATTATTAGTTATACGAGATACTGGAGACAAACAAATCATGCAAGCAGCGATACGTTCTCATTTGTCAGGCATTAGCGCTTTGTCTGGATTCCCTCAGCGAACTATTAGCAGTGTTAGCTATAGACAACTATCTAGCAATATTTGTCAGGCATTAGCGCTTTGTATGTATGTACGTGCTCTTGGGACGAAGACCAGGTACATGGGAAGACAAGGGTAGGCTGATGGAAGCAGAAGACAGACGGAGGATCCATACATACGAGGAAGGGAGGCTGTGGCAGGATTTTCGTCCAACTGGAAAGGAGGTGGTGTGAAGCGATCGATGAAGCCAGTCTGCTGGAAAGTCTCGGCGTTGGCACGGTGGAAGAGGACACAAGATCGTCCTCGTCGGCAGAGAAGGCTGGCCGATCGTTTTGATTTTTCGGAGCAATTAGTGAAACAGTTGGAGATCAGCAACATATTTTCTCCGTAATTGCTTGAGTTAAAACAACACACATTTGACAAGTGATTTATTAAAAACTGTTGGAGATGCTCTTACATCGCTAGGTCGGTGGGTCGATCGGCACACAAAACAAAGAATAATCAGCATGCTAATCCGTCGCGAAATCGTACTCTCTTAAGTCTTACCTTGTGATGCCTCGCCAAAGCGCCACCATGAAATGTGCTCCGTACGTGAGATGAGCTCGGCCGTACTCCGATGTATCCTCCACCAGCTCGGATTTTTTTTTTACGAGACACCGTCGCATGGAACACCTCGTGCGACACCCTGTAATCTCGTGACACCTGTCCTGCTGGATTCATCTGCTGCCTTTAATTGACTTGCTTCACAGAAATTGCGGCCTCGGCTAACTGCACGACGCTAGTGCTTTGCTCTGCCTGGTGGGGGCCGCTATGTTGGAGCACATATGCAGGCCGATGCTTGTGCCCCCACTTTGTTTATAGAGCTCAGTTTTTCTGGTGCCTCGTTTTCACGTCCGGGAACTACTAGCGTCGGACGCTCGCGCTGCTGCTCCTAGATGCCCCCACCCCCACCCACAACCAGCAACCTCGTCTCCATCCCTAACCTTGTCCCCATTGTCCGCAACGCCCGACACGCCTGCACCTCGCGCCCCTGCACCTCAATCCCATTTCCATCGGCATCCTCATCCCCCATCCCCATCCCCATCCGTTTGCCTCGCCCCCGATGACGGCTCCGCTCCCCAACGCGCTCCTGTCCCCCCTTCCCTAACGCACCCCCCTTCCCCAACTGCAACATCGAAAAAATATGTAGTGCAACATCGATAAACATACATTGCAACATCGAAAAATATCTACTGCAACAACGAAAAATATCTACTACAACAAACGAAAAATATGTATTGCAACATCGAAAAAATATCTACTGCAACATTGAAAAACATGCACTGCAACATCTAAAAAAATATAATATCTACTGAAATAACGAAAAAATGTGTACTGCAACATCGAAAAACATGTACTGCAACATCGAAAAACATATACTGCAACATCGAAAAATGTGTACTGCAACATCAAAAAATTATGCTGCAACATTTGAAAAAAATATACTGCAACATCTCAAGCAGTAGTACTGCAACATCGCAAAAACACATCTGTTGCAACAATCCAAAAAAATCCCATTGCAATATTCAAAATCATCTGTTGCAACATAAAAAAAAACTAGTGTAACACGACGAGATCTAACCCCGAGAGCTCGCCGAAACCCTAGCCACCGCCGCATCCCTTAGATCCAGAGGAGGAGGAGGAAGAGGAGGAGGGCGAGGGCTCAGATCCAGAAGAGGAGGAGGAGGAGGGCTCAAATCCAAATCCAGAGGAGAAGGAGCAGACCTCAGATCCAAATCCAGAGGAGAAGGAGCAGGCCTCAGATCCCTCCGCGAGCTACCTCGTCGGAGCCACCGCTGTCGTTCTCGTCTCCGGTGGGGGTGCGGGAGCTAGGTCGCAGGGAGAGTGGGGGTGCATGGAGGTCGCGGAGGGCGAGGGATGGAGGGAGGAAGGGAGCACGGGCGAGCAGGCGCGGCGCGCGGTGTCCCCGTCCCGGGGACGGCCCGGAGAGCCGGCAGGAAAGCGGGCGGAAGAGCGGCACAGGAGTGTGGGGAGCAGGCGGAGTGAGTGTGGGAGAGAGCGAGTGGAGGCAGCGGGCGGAGCGGGGAGAAGTGAAGTGCGAGTACATAGCGGTCTGTGGAACGGTACGTCCGGCCGCCCTAGACGCCCTGTCTATAGCATTACCGTCCTCCCATGTATCCTCCACCAGCTCGGATTTTTTTTTAACGAGACACATGGAACACCGCGTGCGACACCTTGTAATCTCGTGACACTTGTCCTGCTGGATTCATCTGCTGCCTTTAATTGACTTGCTTCACAGAATTTGCGGCCTCGGCTAACTGCACGGCGCTAGTGCTTTGCCCTGCCTGGTGGGGGCCGTGATGTTGGAGCACATATGGAGGCCGATGCTTGTGGCCTCCACTTTGTTTTTAGAGCTCTGTTTTTCTCGTGCCTCGTTCTCACGGAGGCCCGGCCCTGTGAAAATGGATGTGAGCGAGGTAAAGCCCCATACGAGACGGAACATGCATCATGTGTTCAGCGTGCGCGCAGAGCTACAGATAAGATGTACTATTTCACACCTCTCTTGTTGTGTGTGCCTAGTTTTTTTAATGAATTTTTGGAGTGTGACTTACTCAAATAGCAAATCATCACAGTTTCATGATTTGGGTACAATTCACGCATCACATTTCATCGACTTAATATCATGCACCATCTATCTCAGTTCTCTTCCATCTCTATTTCAGGGCAGTACGCTTGGTAGCACATACAGATTATCGGTTATATGAGATATTGGAGACAAACAAATCGTGCTAGCAGCGATAGGTTCTCATTTGTCAGACAGTAGTGCTCTGTTTGGATTCCGTTAGCTAACTATTGGCGGTGTTAGCTAAAGGGAACTATCTAACAACTAATTCTTAGATAGGTGATAGACATGACATGCCCTAGCCAAACCATCGGCTGAGGATACAAATAGGATTTCAGGTAATTTTTAGCAGCTAACTATTATATCTATGTCATCTAGAGTCACTAGCGTTTACAAACCTAAGGATGAAAGTATTTGTTTTGGTACAAGTTTTACAATGGTTGAAAAAAATTTATACCATCCATCAGCTGGAGAGAATTATGAGCGATGTTAAATAAATAAGTTTTACCATGGTTGAAAAACTTATATCATCCAACAAGAGAGAATGAGTGGTGTTAAATAAATAGGCCACAATAACCTAACACAAAACGAAGAATCTATATCTCTTATAAAGCAAAATCCCACCAGAAGTTTTATCTCACACCACAGCGTTCCGCGTCATCATGTAGTCTAAACTGTCCAATTCTTTCTTCATGTCATTAAGATTTTTTAGTGATCTGATTTTCCTTTTCTTGGTCTGGCCGTCCACTAATACGGTCATACCAGCCCCTCCGACTGAAACGAAATGAACATGTTCCATCATGCATTCAAGTTGGATTCATGAATGTACTACTAGACCATCCATTTTCCTTCCCCATCAATTCCTGTCCTTTCAAACCTGAAACCTCCGAGAGCATGTCTTCTCGATTCCTCCACTGCCATGGAAATCACACACCACCAAGGCACAAGCAGAATGCCATTATTCAGGGCATCTCTTCGCGTTCTCATTCAAGCAAATGAAAAGATGAGGCTACACTCAACTCCCTCTTGCTGAATGTCTCCAACTCTCCTATATGTAGCAGGATATCGACTCCTCCCATTTTCTGGTGTGCTCCGCTCGTTCCACAAAGCCTGGGGATAAGAACAGAAGAAAAGAAAGAAAAACAAAGGCAAAGCTGGTGACCAGCACCTGGATTAGGCTAGCCAACCACGGAAGAAGATAAGCCTCCTCCTTCAGGATGGGTTGCGTGCTGGTGTTAGAAGGTGTTTTTGCCGGTTTCTCTATCCGAGGTCGTTTGAAAAATTTAAATTTTAGAAATCAAACTTAATTTTTGTTAGATATATGATTTCAAATGAAAATATTTGGACATCCAAACGATCTCAAATTTAAAAAGTTTGAACTACAAAGTTCCTCTCTCTTGGTTTTGCACCGTATGTATTATTTGTATGTATTAAACTATTCCTTTTATCGGCACCTATGTAGTGACTTAAGGTAACTGATTGATAATGTGTTGCTGGAGAATTACTATTTTATTTTTCGTAAAAAATAGGTTCAACTTTATATTGTGCTCTAAGCAATTTTTTTATATGGTTCCACCAATTTTTTTGTTCGTATTTGGAAGTTATGGATTAATCATTGATGGTCTTCATGGTGGGATTTCCATTCAGATTGATTAACTGACTGTAGTTGTTTATTCCACTCCTGTGTTGCAGCCTTTGAGAGAGCTCCTCTCGAGTCAATGTGTTGTCACCTAATCGATCATTTTAGTGCAGTAGAAGAACTGAAGAAGCCACTCCCCGCATTTTTTTTGTTAATATGCACTACTGATTTTTTTCAAACATTCACAGATTTTTTATTGATCTTGTATTTTTCCATTTTCTAAGTCTTTACAATTTACAAATTTATGGATTTTCTTAACTAATCCTTTTTTTTATCTTAATTCAGTTTAGATGGCAGCACCTATATTTCTTCAAACCTTTAGTGTTTATTGATTATTCTATGTTTTTTCTACAAAACATTTAGAACATTGACTGCAGGCTGCGGGTCACTCAATATTATTGATAGGTAATGAGACGTTAGTTCTTCTCCAACGTGTGTGCATGTTGCGTAATGACCCTGCTACTAATTTTTAATCTCTTCATACAAGCTATACACACAATCCAAACTAAGTGCAATTACTATATTTTTTCCAATAAAAAATACAAGGCATCTATATAATATAATATTTGTTTTAACGTTCCAGCATCTTATAATATGCTATTATTTTTTTATTAGATTCATTTGTTACCTTATCTTACTTTGACTAGAATTTATGCAAGAATATATAAATCAAACTAATAAGAACATCCCTCGGCAACGCGCAGGGTATCCTGCTAGTAATATATATGCATCATTCAAATCCGTCGTGAAATCATAAACCCTTAGCTTGTGACACTTGGACAAAGCACCACCAAGAACTCATCGTGCATGTGCTTCATACGTGAAACAAGACCGTAGGATGCATCATGTGTGGAGCGTGCACGCCGAAGCTACATGTATGATGTACTATCTCTCACCTCTTGTGGTGTGACCGTTTTTTTAATGCTGCAAAACATCATAGATTTCAGTACAATTCACGCGCATCACATTTCTTCGAATTAAAGCACTTAAATATCATATATCATCTCATTTCTCTTCCATATCTTAGTGTAGTATATGTTTGGCAGCGCATACATGTTATCGGTTAATGTGAGATATTAGAGACAAACAAATCATGCCAGCAGCGACGGATTTTCAGTTGTCTGTCATCAATGCTAAGTTAGATACATAAAATAAAACTATATAACAACTACTATGGACACAAATAGAGGATTTCAGCTAATTTTCAACAGCTACCTATTAGCTCTGAGTCATCCAGGTCTAGTATTGTTTAGGGTTCTGCTATTGTTTAGCGATTCTAAAGAAGAAATTTTATGTTTTTATACAAGTTTTATAGTGGTTGAAAAAAGTATAGCTCATCCATCATAACAGAACAAGTGGTGGAAAATACGAGGAATTCAATAAAAAGTATAGTAAAGTACTAAATAGGTAGGGTCAATAACAAAAGAGTGCAACCAATACCCATATTATTTTTATTTTTTATTTAAATAAAGAGTAGATTGGTGATCTGATCATACTTTATGGTCCCCAATCAGTAGTTAATGTGAATGAATCAAGTAATTACATTACCTGCCTCAGCATTCACCACTCCTCCTCATCCCTATTGGTATAGCAGAGAGCAGGAACAATGGCAGGTGAGCATAGCGGTGGCCTGCTGGCATCCTCTTCCTCCTCGCCTGCTGCTGCTTGTGGACCTCTGCCAACACATCCTTTCCCCTAGTTAACTCCAAATGCTAAATTGATTTTCAAACAC